CTCTCTCTCTCTCTCTCTCTCTCTCTCTCTCTCTCTCTCTCTCTCTCTCTCTCTCTCTGTGTGTGTGTGTGTGTGTGTGTGTGTGTGTGTGCAGTCTTCATCTCGCTCAACTGTTCCTGGTGGTCCAAGTGTGGCTTGCAGCACAGCAGCTGCAATCGCTTGGGACGAGTCCTTCAAGAACAATCTCGACCCGTCAGGACGTGCTGTGGGTGTACATGATGATGCATACTAGGGACCAATATCCCCCTCGTTATGATTATGATGGGAGCAGTGCACAACAGTTGCCTTCAAATCACGTTTGGAGTCCCGGAATGTGATGGAGGACACGTGGCAGCATGTGCATTCCCCACTTCGAAGTTATTCTCAAAGTCTTGTATGTGTGTGTGTGTGTGTGTGTGTGTGTGTGAGAGAGAGAGAGAGAGAGACAGACAGAGAGACAGAAGCAGTGGGTCAGGGGAAGGTGTGGTGATGGAGAGAGAGAGAGAGAGAGAGGGAGAGAGAGAGAGAGAGAAGGTACCTTGCATACGATATACACAGTGTGGGTCACATCGAGACCACCTGCCACCCCGTTTTCCTGAGGGGGGGGAGGACTGAAGTGGATCACCATCTTACACTTGGCAAGGGTAAGGGTCGAGTTAGCAGAGCGGTCCGTATTGCTTCAAAGTTGGTAGGTCGAGGTAAAAAAAGGACAGGAGCAGGAGAGATTCCATGAAGTCATCTCTTTGACTGCATATGAGGCGCACGTTGAAAAAAAAAATTGCTGTGTACGAGGCTGCCTGTATTTCGACTCAGGGTCTTAGGAATAACCTCATGCTGCTGGAGTTTTTTGTGCAGCTGTTTCTCATTTTACTGGCATGCGTTCTTACCAGCAAGCCATTGCCTGATTTCTCCCCATGGCTTCCGTTTTTTTTTTTGCTGAATATTTTAGTATTGTAGTACTGTATTTTGCTATTTATGAGGCTGTGACCACTCTTCGGTACCTGGTTTCGTGCGGAGATCTGTGCGAAACACATCTATGTTTGTCCTCAGCATGGTATACGATTGCAATACCTCAGGAGGAAAATACCGCATCTCAGTGAGTCGACAAGTCAGAGGACAACCCTAACAGTAATATACACATGTCGGTGAGTCGTCAAGTCACAGGACAACCGTCGCAGTACAACAACCAAAGAAGGCAAAAGGAGCGACGCAAAGGAGCCGAGGCAAATGGCAGCAGAGCAAAAGCAGCAAGGCAAAAAGCGGCAAGGCGAAAGGCAAATGGTACCTACTTGACCCCATGATGCAGCACGGGTCCACAGGGGAGACAAGACAGCACAGCCAAAGGCAGTAAGGGGATACCAAGCGGCAGCAAGGCGAGAGTCTTTGTGTGTGTGTGTGTGTGTGTGTGTGTGTGTGTGTGAGAGAGAGCGAGAGAGAGGTGTGTGTGTGAGAGAGAGAGAGAGGTGTGTGTGTGTGAGAGAGAGAGGTGTGTGTGTGTGAGAGAGAGAGAGATGTGTGTGTGTGTGAGAGAGAGAGACACAAAGAGAGAGAGAGAGAGAGAGAGAGAGAGAGAGAGAGAGAACCGAAGAGAGAGGGCTAGCCATAGAGTGTGTGGGCTTTCCTGGTAGACCAGAGCGGCAAAGTGAAGTGTACCAGTTGGTATGGGCCAAGGCAGCCTCAGAGTTCGATCACAGGAACTTTTTTTTGTCTAAGGCCAAGCCTGTTGGCTAGTTCTACAAGCATGTTGAAGTAACAGAAATGTTGGACATGTGCTTCCATTCTGCCCACAGGCAACAGCATACCACTGGTCTACCATCTTCTCCTGATCACAACGCACCCTCAGTATGAATGTATACAAGCCTTCTTTCGGGCTATGTTGAGGCTGTGTTTGTACTTGGGGAAGATGCTAGCCTGATTTTGCAATTACAACAGCACTCCCTCTCTCTCTCTCTCTCTCTCTCTCTCTCTCTCTCTCTCTCTCTCTCTCTCTCTCTCTCTCTCTCTCNGAAGTCACATTCCCCGCTGACATCGGAGCAAAAGATCGCTCATACTAAAGCTATCTATCTACTTAATGAAAATCCACTTACATAGCAGAATTTTTAAAATCGATACATCTTCAAGTTGTCGCTCCCGTCTCTCTCTCTCTCTCTCTCTCTCTCTCTCTCTCTCTCTCTCTCTCTCTCTCTCTCACACACACACACACACACACACACACACACACACACACATGCACACGCACGCACGCACACGCACGCACGCACACACATGCATATGGCTGGGGGGCAAAGGGGAGGCACAGCAACGGGTGACAGCTCTGAGCCTTTTCCCTCGTTGTTGGTTCCCCTGCTGCCGTTGCCTCTGCTGTTGTGCTAGAACGAAGTGCTCACTGTCCCCTTGGGCTAGGTAGAGGTCTGAGCCTTTTCCCTCGTTGTTGGTTCCCCTGAGAGATACAGTACATACAGTGGCTCTGACGAAAAGACGAAGGGAAGATATGTTTAAAAGAAAAAAATGGATGGCGCCACTCCTCCAAGAGTACAGGTAAGGGGACAAATCTTTGTCAAACCGCACAAAATGAAAAGCGAAATCAGAAAAGAAAATGCAGCCAAGCGGCCCAAGACATTTGCAGGCATGTCAGAGAAATAGATAAACGGCCACCGGCCCACCACTTGGATGTGGACGCTACACGTAGAGCAAGAGCTACCCAAACTCGCCCTGCTCACTGTTTATATCTAGTGGTAGAGTGTCATCCTATTTATTCGCAATTCTCATAGGTGCTACTGTTTTCTTCTTTTTCTTCCCTTTAAAGTGTGCATATGGAACGCCTTGTTTGCTCTCCTCTTCTCCTGCTCTGCATATGGTTCGTAATGCAGTTTTCTGTGACGATGTAGACGTTTATATATTCAGCCTCCTGACGAGTCTGTGAACCTCCGCGGAAACAGTTTGTCAAAGGCGTACATCATGTGTCGTTTGTTGTCCTCTTCTCCCTCTCTGCCTGCGGTTTACCAGACAGTTCTGTTTGATGATATATATATGTATAATACTATATATATGTGATATACACAATAATATATACATATGTGGACATATATCATCACAGGAAACTGGCCGGTGAGCAATAGGACGAGAGGGAGAAGAGCGCAACACATGAGGGGCTGTGACAGATTTTCTCTGGGCAGTTTTATGGTTTTATATATATTTGTATACGTAATATATGTATAATATTATTAATATATTATATATATGAAACTCCGACGAAACAGTTTGTCACAGCCCCTCGTTTGTTGTCCTCTTCTCTCTCTCTGCCTACGGTTTACCGGGCAGTTCAGTTTGTGACGATATATAGGCCAGTGTGGCTTCGCTCCCACTGTACATGGTCTGAGAAACCACACTAGATAACGATTAAAAACTTGGGTAGCTAAAAAAGACAAAAAAACAAAACTTGGGTAGCTCCGCTTGACACCTACACCATTTCAGAACACAGAGAACAGTAAGGTACAGAATTCCATAACCATATGGCACTACGACACTCGGCGGAAAACAAATGCACACATCAGCACAAATCCATGGTACACCGTGACACTATTCAAAAACAATCGAAACCAAACCCGGATCGACATTGATAAGCCCATTTTTCTACCACCGCCAGCAACACGTCTTCCCATCGTTTTCATTTTGCACTCGAACACACACACAAAGATACATGGAAACCAAATCCGCCACAATCACAGACCAAATTGGAAATCCTAGACACTCTATTACATGCCGACGACGTTAGCAAAAGCAGGACAAATCACAGCTTCCCCCCCCACCCCAAAAAAAAAAAAAAAAAAAAAAAAAAAAAAAAAAAAAAAAAAAAAACACAAAAAAAAAAAAAAAAAAAAAAAAAAAAAAAAAAAAAAGAACTAGACACTCTATTTCATGCCGAAGGCGTTAGCAAAAGCAGGACAAATCACAGCTTGGCAGCTTGCCCAAAAAAAAAAATAAAAAAAAAATCACCATTACCTCTCAGAAAAACGGCAATGTACAGAAACACGACAAAAACTTGGTACTAATTCACCGAAAAGTTCGAAAACAAACTCTAAATGCAATTCTCAGACATGAAAACAACACCCAAAAATTCCTGAAACCTCACACAACTATAGACTAAAAACTTTGTAAAAAGTTAAAAACTTAGTAAAAAGTTCAATTTGACAGCAAGTAACATTGACTCAATTAACATTATTCACTCAATTGACATTAACATGATAAGGATATTCTTTCTATTTAAAAAGATTCCCCAAATACCTAAAAGAAAAAGAATCATTGAAAATGTTATAAAAAAAAACAACCTACCTCCCTTATCTTAACCACTGCAGCCAGCACACAGAGATCAATGCGATTCGTCCACAGCACAGACTCTGTGGACGTCCAGACAGTGACTTGCACAATCTCACACATTTTGGAGTTCCTCATGGAATGCAAGCCGACCTGGCGTATATAGTGCACCCACAGTGCAGCCTCCTTACTTCGCAAAACTTATTTTCTACTAACCAGATCCTGATTCCTGACCAGATTCACTTTTCAGTAAAATCTCTAGTCAGATCAAAAGCTGGATGTGGCTGTCAAACGATTTTCACACTGCATCGAAACCAGAACTATGTTTTTGAAATCTTCCCACCTCGCCTGGCCCAGCTGGGAATGAGAAAAAATGCTCAAACCCCGTCCGAATACCGCCAAGACCCGCACAACAACTGCCAGTGGCCCGCGAGGCCCACTCATGCCCACACGTAACCGACCCACATCCGATTCAGGCTCAAAGAAAAGAAAAGAATAGAAAAGAAAGAGTGAGTGCCATACGTAATCGTCCCTCAGGCTCGAAGAAAAGAAAAGAAAAGAAAGAGTGAGTGCCATACGTAATCGCCCCTCAGACCAAGACGATGGCGATTACAGTTGCTCACTGATCCATTCTCTACTTACTTTCACAAGCTCTCTCTGGCGAGTGGCCTCTACCATCATGTATGTTACTGTAATGTACACCTGGCATCCATGCGTCACTTCCGACCAACGCTGTTCAAAGCTCGCTTTCTTCGTTCCCTACCGTGTTCCCTGCTCCCACTCCCGACAAGCTGGAGTGGAAGCGGAAATTGGAAACTGAAACCAAGCTTGCCCAGCCTCACAACGGCTGCTCCGCCCCCTGACTTCCACCCGGGCCCTGATTCCAGCCTCGAAAAGCTTGCACAAATGTTATGTTTACAAGGGCTTTCAAAAAAAAAAAAAAAAAAAAAGAAAGTTCTGAATGTAGATACCCGTATTTGTGGTCTGGTATGGTGCCCTGAGTCCACGCCGTCAAGGCACCTTTTGGTCAATGGAAAAGTAACCTGCGACTTTTTTTGCGCCAACCCACCGCGACTGTTTCTTTTGCACGCCCAATGTGCCGCCACCGGGGCAGAATCCCCAGGGGTCTTGGAAAGCCACCTGGGCAGATTCCCCAGCGGTCTTGGAAAGCCACCTGGGCAGAATGCCCAGGGGTCTTGGAAAGTTGGAAACCTTGTTCTCTATATTCCATCTGGTGTGGGTGAGTGATAGTCTGGTTTGATTTTCGTCACAGGTACCTTGAGGGCAGTGGTTGGTGGTCCCCACCACCTCAGAGGGGTATCAGGTGTTGGGAAGTCGTTGATGCTTAACCACAGCCGGGGTTAAGGTGGATTACCACTTACAGTGTAATCAGTTAGGGGATTCTGCAGACTGTCGAGGGTTCAGCCTCCTGATGAGTCGGTGAAACTCCGACGAAACAGTTTGTCACAGCCCCCCCTCGTTTGATGTCCTCTCCTCTCTGCTCCCTCTCCGCCTGTGCTTTACCGGGCAGCTCTGTTTGACTATGTATAATTTACAATTTTATAAAGAAAATGTGTTAACAGAACCTTATGGTTCAGGATCCTTCTGTTCTGGGCAACATCAGTCCGGTTCCTTTCGGCCCCAGATCCCAAGCGGGGAATGGTGCTGGTGGTTTTAAGAGTGCTGTCGGGTGCGGTACCTCAGGGGGGGACGGACGACAGTCTGTATAGCAGTCGTAATTCGGTGGAGTTGGTAGTGGAGTAGTGGAGTTACGGATCTAGTGCCGTTCAGTACCCATCTTCTCCAAGGTTTAGACTGAGAGATTAAAAGCTCGATTACCCATTTAAACCACCAGTACTTCCTAAAGTTGTGCCCGTTAACAAGCCACAATTATTTTAGGAAATGTACGGGCCACTACAGGAGCGCCCAAATTCATCTGTCACTGACTAGAAGCGTTTCTACTCTATTTTCTTCCTCGGCCGATAGCTGGGCCAAGTACTGGTGGTTTAACTTGAAGGCCTTCCTTAGTCTCTTGTTTAGGATTGAGATTACCCAATCCGCCTTTCGATGGGTGCCTTGTTATGTCGTGCCGAGCTAATACCCAATCCGCCTTTCAATGGATGCCTTGTTATGTAGTGCCAAGCTATTTTCGGGATAAAGTTCTCCTTGTTGGGGTCTCTTGCCCAGAGGTATGCTCGTGCACAGTGATGCAGGTCCTTGATTCTGTGGTCGGGAATTGTCCAGATCGAGGCAGCGTACCACATCTTGGAAAATATGTTAAGTGTTTATAGTCAGGGGGGGCTCTACCCAAGAGAGAGGTGAAGGTTTTACACCGTCTGCCCATTTTATTGATTTCCATTTTTTTTTATTTTTATTTTTATTTCTATTTTTTAAACAAAAGCTCCAGTCTATTCGTGGGAGGTGCCAGATCCTCACTTGTCAGCAAGATACCTAAGTAGCGAGTGGGAGTATATGGCTTCTCCCAGGTCATATCCTTCTCCGGCCCTTGGGATAATAACAGAGGCTCATCCTCTGCCACGTTGCCAACCACCATCCTGTGGTCTTTTTCCAGTTGATTTCCATTTCTGGAGCCAGTCTGAAGGCCTCCATAGCCCGTAATAAAGCCTGAAACGAAGAATCAGAGGCCAGGATCAAGACGGGAAGGCCGTCCGCGAACACATTGTAACTGTAGGGAGAGAGAGGTGGTGGGGAGAGCCTGCATTGATTTCTGGTAGCCTGTGGATCGAAGGGTCCTTCCTGAGGAACAAGGCTATCA